AGGCTTAGTTTCCCAGGCTAGGTCTCTGTTGGGCTTCTCCTTTCTCAGTGGTATGTGTGTATGTGTGTGTGTGTGTGTGTGTGGTGGTGGTTTTGGGTTGCAGGCTTCTTTGGCACCCAGGGTAGGGGTATGTGGGAGATAAAAAGAAACCCAACAGAATTCACCATGTTGTCATTTCTCAAGTCCTGAAGTTCCTAGCCAGTCCATCTTCTTTTTTCCTGCTTCCAGAGTCCTTTCATCATTATTGGTTGAGTAATTTCTAGGAAATATAATTGTATTTGTAGGAGAGGAGCAGGGAAAATGAGTCTAAATCATCTTGTTCTGAAACTATATGTCCCCTAGTGTAGTTTTTAAAATAACATTTTGGTATGAGTGAATATTTGAGCATCTTTTGATGAGTTTTATTTTATTTTTAAATATATATTTTTATTGATTTCAGAGATGAAGGGAGAGAGAGAGATAGAAGCATCAATGATGAGAGAGAATTATTGATCAGCTGCTTCCTGCATGCCCCCTACTGGGAATTGAGCCTGCAACCTGAGCATGTGCCTTTGACTGGAATCAAACTTGGGACCCTACAGTCTGCAGGCCGATGCTCTATTCACTGAGCCAAACTGGCTAGGGCTTTTGATGAGTTTTAAAGCCATTTTAATTTATTTTTCTGTATTTAATTTTGATATCATTTGCTCATTTTTATATTAGGCTGGTGGTCTTTGACATTGATTTGTAACAGCTGTTTTCATATTCACTATGAGTTGCAGAAATTTACTCCAGATTATTGTTTCTCTCTTTAAAAAATATTTTTATTGACTTCAGAGAGGAAAGGAGAGGGAGAGACAGATAGAAACATCAATGATGAGAGAGACTCATTGATTGGCTGCCTCCTGCACTCCCCCTACTTGGGATCGAGCTGTAAGTCGGGTATGTGCCCTGACCAGGAATCGAACCTCTACCTCCTGATTCATAGGTCAACGCTCAACCACTGAACCACACCAGCTAGGCTATTGTTTCTCTTTTGATTTTGCCTTTTTAATGGTATTTTTGCCTTGCCGGTTTTTAAAAATATAGTTGAATATATAAATCTCTTCCATAACGTCTGGTTTTGTGTCATTCTTGGAAGGCCTCCTCATTTCAAGATTAAAAAAAAAATCTTCCCATATTTTCTTCTAGTACTTTTATGGTTTTACTTTTTCATTAAAATTTTTTTGGTCCATCTGGAATTTATTTTTGTGTAAAGTGTGAGGTAGTGTATCCAATTGTTCCAAAGCATTTATTGAGTAGTCCATCATTACCTCTCTACTTTGAAATGCTACCTTTAAAAAAATGTGGTTAAAAAACACATAATATAAAATTTACCATCTTTACCATTTTAAGTGTACAGTTCAGTAGTGTTAAATTATTCGCATTGCTGTGCAACAGATCTCTAAAATTTATCTTGCAAAAGTGAAACGCTATATTCAGTGAACAGTAACTCCCCATTGAAATGCTGCCCTTTCATCATAGTCTAGTGTCTGGTCTTTTTCACTTCTTGCCTAAATCACTGTAACAGCTTTCTAGCATCACCATAATTCCAATTGCCATGCACAGTATAGCCTGGTTCATTTTCCTCATGCAAGCTCTGACCACAGCATTCTATTATTCAAAACCTTCAGAAGCCCTCCATGATATATTGCAATTGAAATTAAGTCCCTCATTATACTCTTTCATAGCACCTGTAACTTTTTTCATGTCTCTTTTCATAATTTGTAATTATCTGCATGATATTTGACTGTTGTCTATATCCTAGCTAAACTTAAAATTTCATGAGAGAAAGGGCAATGTGTTCACCACATATTTGCAGTGCTTAGTGCGCACCTGGTACTTAGTAGGTACTCAGTCCATGTTTGAGGAATGATAGGTTCCCCTTGGTCTGTGGAATAAAGTAGAAACAATGCAAGATCTGATTCAAACTTAATCTTCTCTCAGCTTTCTGCCCTTCAAGGAAATTAAGCTGCTGGATTTTCCACCCTTCCCTGACAAAGCCATGGGCTTTCTCATGTTTGGTTCTGGTTTACAGCATGCCCTGATCTTTTCATTTGTGCCATGTCCTCCCCTCAGTTCCCCACCAGCATTGCTGCCTTGTGGAAATCCAATTCATCCTTCAAGAATATCGCTGTCTCCACCACTGGACTGTGAGTTCCTTGAGACCAGAGACAGAGTCCCCTGATTTGCCCCTAGGGAGCATCACAGTTCCTGATCTCTAGGAGATGCTCTTGGTTACACATCTTCAGGCTCCTTGAGGGCAGGCAGTGTTCCTTACCTGTGTGCATCTGGGAACCTTGCTTCCTAGCCCCCAGGGAGAGACTTGGAGTTGGCTTCAGAAATATTCCTGGTAACCTACTGAACCTGTCTAGTTGTGTTATGAAGGGCCTGAATATGAAATAGTGTGGCAGGGGCAGAGGCTTCCCTGCCTTCCCCCCACTGTGCCCTGTGACATTCCGTCTCTCTGGCTCCTTCTCCAACAATAAAACATTACTGCCTCACACTCCTCACCTGAGTTCAGCTTGGAGGTTACTCCCTGCCTCCCTCTCCCTCCAAGCCCTCTGACGAAGAGGCTGCTCAGTTGGCCACACTTTACTGGCACCAGGAGGCAGGATTGCCATGCCCAAGATCTTGTTCTCTCTCATCCTTTAGAAGCACCTTCTCTAGGGATGTCCAGGCCATTCCCCACCACCACCTGCTTCCCAAGCTGTACTCCTGTCACCTCATGATTCCAAGGCAGCCCCTCCCCATCAGAGGCAGTGACCCCTGGCTTGGGCTTCTTCCTCCTCACCCTAAGGGCTGCTGACACCCTAGGGGCTTCAGAGGTCAGGGGTGGCAAACAGTCTAGCCTGCTGACCTGTTTCGTTTGTCCAGAATCATGTTCTTGTGAAGGCCCCAGCAGAGGAGGGACCTGGAACCCTCCAGCCTTTTAGGGTCTAGGCTCCTTCCACATCCTGCCATTCTGCTTTAGACCCCACTCTTGAGCCCACCCCTGCCCTGTCAATAGACTGTCCAGATTCTGAAACCCACTTGCTGACCACAGCTTCCCTCCTTTCCCTTCACTTCCTGCCTCCCTCAATCCTGACCTCTTCTCTGCACACAGACCTCCAGGCCCTCCGGTCCCCTGGTTCTCCGCACTTTCTCCCAGGCTTCCAGTTTTTCCTCTTTGTTTTCTTACCTCAACCCTACTAGCCCCTCAGGACCCCATGTCTCCACCTCAGAACCCCACATCTCTGTTTGCAGGGTCAGATAAATCTAACCATTTATCTTCAGTGGGATAATCCTAAAAATCAAAGTTGGTTAATTCTTTGTTTTCCTACAAACTGCCAGAGATTCTCCACAAGCTACAGGGTTGGTGGTACTAAAAATAAAGGCATGCTCCTCACTTGGTCTTCTAGAAGAACACAAAAATTCTGGTTTTTAGCCACTGTAGCCCCTTTCATGAACCTGTGCCTGCACAACAGCTTTCCCCCTTACTCATTGTTTCCTTGGCTGGCTCTAGTCTTATTTTTAAACCCTATTGTTTTTGTAGGTACATATGTCTTTGTGTAAAGGCACAGAGCAAGACCAGTGAGGATACACCACAAACAGATAAACATTTGCTACCTCTGTGCAGGGCCAGAGGTGATCAAGATTGAGGGAGGGACTGGGTCAAAGGATTTAACCTTATCTGTAAAGTTTCTACTTTCACAAAGAGATTGTATCATGTACTTACTACTTGTGAGATATTAAAAACAAACAAATGAACCAGTTTAGTACCAGGAAACCTTCTCCAGACTTCCCAGGCAGAGGGAGCTGTTTCCTTTTCTGGGATTGAACAGCACCTTCCGCAAGTGTTATAGGCAATACTGTGTTCATCTTTCTCCTTCTAGATGGGGAATCCCCTCAAAGGTACACACTTTATATAATTCATGCTCCCATGCCTACAGAGTGCCTGGCCCAGAGCAGGTGCTCAGCGAGTGCCAAACCCAGTGCATTGCCTCTGCCAGCTGGCTCCTTCGAAAGTGCTTGCTGTGGGTCAGGCCTCATGCTAGTCATGAGCTGTTTCAAGTAAGTTCCACAATGTCCAAGGAAGGATATCTCCAGGAGTCTGAAATGTGGGTAGAGAAGACCCTTGGGTTATGTTAACACAAGGATGGGGTTGAACTGCCGTCTCCCAAGGCCAGGATCCAGTTCAGTGCTACTGTCTTGTCACTTGGCATGCTTCCAAAGCCACAGCCTCTTCAGCAGTTAATCTAAGGGCAAAGGCATCCCCAAAAGCTGAACTTGTCAAGTCCAGCCCTGATTTGTATATCTGAGATGGAGAGGACAGCCCTAATAAACAGGCTGTCCCTATACATGGTGAGCCAGGGAGGCCAGAGTCAGGAGACGCTCAGACCAGGCTTGGAGGGAGGCCCTGAGCAATTGTCTGAGGGGCTTGAAGAAGGCATCAGAATTTCAGTTTAATCTTGGGAGTCTGTAGCTTTTGTAATTTTCCAGAGAAATCTGAGCTCTCAGGTCATAGGATCCTATTTAGGTCCTATCTACTGCTCAAAGGCAAAAGGGCAACGCCTTAATGGGTCAATTGGATTGGAGCTATAGAGTGGGTGGGGATGGCTTTTAGGGTTGGTGAAGTGTGTGTCACGTGGCCAGGGCAACCCTTTAGACTTGAATGTGCAAGTGGCGAGGAGGCTGAGGAAGGGTCTGGATCAGTCTTTCTTCTGAGAATGCCCCCAACCAGCCCCTGTATTTAACCTCGAATAGGACAGTGTTCCTGGGGACTTAGGGCAATGAGGCTAGGTACTTGGGCTCCTGAAGAGATAACGGCAGAAATTTGGTAAGCAGTCCCCTACCGCCCCACCCCCATTCCTCCCATCCCATCCAGCTCCCTCCCAGCTATCCACCCACACCCCACCACGGGCCTCAGAATTGCTGAAAAGACACCAGACCATGCAACACATCTTTAGACCTCAATGAAGAACACCTCCAGTTAGTCCAACTCTTTGTAAGTAACTTTTATTTTTATTTACAACAGAATTGGTGGCTTTATTCCTTCATGTTTAGGGACAGTTGGCATCAGCAGCCAGATGGAAAGTCTGCAGTGAAGTCAAATTCATTCTGCCCCAGCCACAGCTCTGGAAGCTCATTAGCCCGGTCCAGTCCCAGTTCCACCACCAGTGACATCAGCACCTCCTCATCCACTGGGTCCGAATCGATGATAGCAGGGCTCTGGGCACCAGCAGGAGGAGAGAGTGACCCCGTCCCTCCCGCCTGAGCCCCAAAACCCCAGTTTTGCAGGGGCCCTGCCTCCCCTGGTTGGCCCGGAGTGGCTGCAGCCATCCCATGATACTGGCTATTAAGTTTCTGCAGCTGCATACTGGCCAGCAGGTGAGGGGCAGGGTGCAGGTTGAAGGGTGGGGATTTAGTGGGAGGGGTGGTGGTAGGAGAGCCTATTGGAGTTGGAGATCCAGAGGAACTAGTGGGAACCCCACTGGCCTTGGTTCCATTTGAGGCTACCCCGGGGTAGTGCAGAGTGGCTACTGCTTTGCGATCTTTCACCCCCAGGTTAGAGTAGGCTAGAGAGCTCATCTCTTGGTTGGCATCCTAGAAGACAAGAAAGGTGCAACATAATATCAGGCCCAGAAAACTCCTACATGCACTTCATTTGGGGCTAGTGGTGAGGAGGTAGCAAGAAGGCCCCCTGCAAAGTTAAGCTCCCAGCCTGAGGATCCTCTTGAGCTCAGTGTTCAGAGCAAAGTGCTCATGCTGGGCACCTGCCCTCCTAAGTGGGTTTGCTGCTTTCATCTCCCTCCCTCCACCTCATCACTCTAAAGGCATCTCATTGTCCCTCTTCTCAGCCTCACATTAATCCTTTCAATGGTGTTGTCTGATTCTGATTCTAATTCTCTGCTCCCTACCCTGCCATCTTTCAACAACCTGAGTGGGTTTGGTTTGATCACATTTAGGCAGAAGCTATCCTCATTCTCCCTAGAGAAAGCCCTGTTGTCTCCTCTCTGCTAAAGGACACTAGACACCACACCTAGGAGGGCCTATAGGTGGCCCCAGACCAGCTCATCTTCCCAGGTCTAAATGTCTCTCCTTGTAAAATGGCAAAAGTTACCTCCTTCACAGGTGAGGTGCCACCCTTGACATCAAGTGCAGGTCTCGACATCGTTGGCATTTCAGAGCCTCAGCAGAAGTTGGATAAATTGGTGGGAGGTGATGCTGCCAGCCGGAGCTGTTGTGCTGTATGTGATGGAGAAAAGGTAAGAAGGGCAAAGGTTTCATTAGCCAAGAAAAAATTAGCAAAGCCAAAAGCAGGGCAATTACATACAGCTACAAGGAAAGGATGGTGACAGGGTTAGATCCAAGACCAGAGACCACGTGAGCAAGAGAGAAGATCAAGCTGGAACTTTGTTTGCTTGATTAGCCAGGTGCTGCCCAGGTAGCCAGCTATCCACATCATCAAGAGGGTACACAATGACCGCTTTCCCATGCCAGTGATTTCAGAGCCCCAAGTGTGTGTGTGGGGTGGCATGGCACTGTTCCTGATTCTGAAGGCATAAATATTCATAAGTAGCACACTGTCTTCATGGGCCACTGGCTTCTGAGCTGGGGCCTCCACTGGGACTGAGAAAAAGTGGGAAAGAGGGCAAGGAAGACCTAGAAAGCTGCAGGCTGTAGCCCAGGGAAGGAATCAGTCCCCAACGTAAATGCCATGGAGCTCCAAAGCCCTGACTCAGATATGGGTGTGAGAAAAGCCAGGCTGATAAAGGTGGGCTGGGGGCTCCGAGGTGGCCAGAGAGCAGCAAGGAATGTCTCAATTTCCTCCCTGCCTCAAACCCCCTCCAAGACAGCCCAGGTAGCATAGGGCTTTCCCAGGACACCTGGTCTGAGCCCAGCCACACCCATCTGTAGTGACAAATGGGAATACTTCTTCCTGGAGGGAAACAGGAACAGAGATTCAATGGCTTTCCTATCAAGTGGCAGTGGTTCTGAGAGCAGGAGCTAGCACTCTTATGTCCATAGGCCTCGCCTGACCACTGAATCATACCTAGAATGATTCAAACAATTGCTGAAGAAATAATTCCCTAGCTCAAGTGCTGAAGGATAAGGGGGTGAGGGAAAAATAATTCCCTCAAACCAGAAAACAAAAAATTTCCTCACCTGAAAACTCCCGTTATTTTCCTAGAAGCTTGTTTTTAAGCTTCATCTATTCTAGCCTTCATGATGAATCAGAGATGTCGAATTTTGTATTTATAAATACCCTTTGCCCCAAAGAATCTCCCACACCTTAAAAAGCATGTCTAATCTTTCGAACAAGCCTAGAATTCTCCTTGACATTTCCCTCCCCCAGTGGTCATTAAGAATCTGCTCAGACACTTCTAGAAAGTGGCCACTTACTACTTCTCTTTATTATCTTTTGCACCACTTACTTGTAGGGTAGGGAGGCAAGAAAATAGAGAAACGAAAAAGTGGGGGAGAAAACATGAGAAAAAAATCAGTTGCTGGGTCATCACTACCACTGCTTGATTGGAGGCCTGTTTCTTCTCCGAGGCTACCCAGTCATGTTTCAAGCCAGTGATCACAAGACAAGGAGTCTAATCCATGTCGTCTTCCAGAGCCCAGCATCTTCGGTATTAAGCAATTTTCACATCCTAAGAAAAACGTTGAGGGGCCCTGCCCATCTTTCTCTGTTCGTATCCAGCCTTCGTTCTTTATGCCGCCCAAATGTACCCGAGTGTACAAAATAAGAAACAGTAGCAACAACAATAAAAAAAGGAGGGGAAAAAGTTATAGAATAAAAGAAAGAGCCAGAAAAAAGTTTTAATATCAGTTCTTGGGGAAGAAGACCCTTTTGCCACATCTCCCTCTTCAGGCTGTGAGCTCTCCTAAACAGGACCCTGCTTCCATTCAGATCTGTTGTCTCTCTTGGCCGCTCTCTCAGCCCCACTCCCCCAACCTCCCTGACCGCC